ACTCAAACATGTAATGATAAGAAATTAAATGAAATCAAATGTCAATTGATGATAAATAATGGAAACCGAATGCACTGTAATCACGAATTCCCAAGCAATAATAACTTAAACCCTAATTTCACAATTTTGACATTACGATAGAATCTTGACAAATCAATGCTCCTAAATCTATCCAACGCTCTCTCTCGAGATGTGTTAAACCTATTCTTATATACCATCAGCCTATATCTCTATGACAGATGCAAATATACAAAAATGCATGTGATTTTGTGAGCAATTAAAGATTTACTATCTACTATCGGACTCTATGATGAGTTATATATGTCAAACCTATTACAATTCTCCAGAATATAAAAATAAGTCACCAAATTCACACCAATTATGTGCACAATAATTGTGGAAAAATTAAATCCATATAATTCATTCAAAACAATCCAAACATATATAGAGCCAAAATCATGAAATAACGAATTAAAGAAATATCACGAGTTTCATCGATCTCCTAGTAATTAAAATCTAGCCTAAAATATGAAAAATTACACAAAACATGTTTATATTAAGGAAGAATACAACCGGGCGATTGATTTACTTGAATTCTTGAAGATCTTGTTGAAATCTCATGTAAACCCTGCATGAAATCGGCTCCAAGATCTTGTTTCTTGCCTCCAAGGATGGTATTTTTCTTCCCCCAACATGTTCTGCCCTTAATCTGATGATTTTTAGCTTTTATATCGCGTTTTTATGAAGTCCCGGAAGAGTTCTATCGAAAACGGAAAACAAAATTTTTTTGGCCGAAAACGTACCATGCGACAGCATGGTTATAAGAAAATCGTCTTGAAATTCCCTGAAGGTGTTCTTGCGACCGCATGGTAGAAATTTTTTCCCCCGGATAGCTTTCAGTATTTTAATCATAACTTCCACTCTCGATGTCCGATTGAGACAAATCAAAGTGTGTTAGAAAGATAATGAAAAAGGCTACAACTTTGCTTAAGATAGACATTTTCAAATTTGAACGTTTACTATGCCAAAAATGGGTTTCAAATAGAAACTAGAAATCTGGAGCATAATTTTTTCGTCTGAAAGTTGATGTGTGATAATACTTCGGCTATATTTCATCTCTTTGACTTATTTCCTCATCCAATTGGCCCCTAATACTCTTGAATCTTCATTCCATTGCCCATCTCATCTATGGATTATTTGCAATTGGTCCTTGAACTTTTGTTTTCTTTCATTTTTTTCCTTTTTTTGAATATTTTCTCTTGAATTCCATCATATCCATCAATATTGTCCTACAAAGTAAAATTGCATAGATTTAAGTCATATTTCAATTAATTTTATCAACAATTAGTTATGTTTTGTAGACTGAATAAGTGTGTAAAAACACACTTACATCAATCATCTCAACATTTTCTAGTTCAAGGAGAGCTCGCATGGAGCGTCGTCATGTCCATGTCGACTATGATGACATTGAAGTCCCGGGGCTCAGCCTTCCTGTTGGAGCTCAAGTGACACTTTCTTAACCCTCTTTGGTCACCTCTTACAATTGTCACCCCATTCTCGATCGAGAATTTCATGCAAATGTGGAGGATGAAGGTGACCGCTCCCAACTCCTTTAGGGCAGGTCTCCCTAATACCTCGATTGGCTATCGATGAAAAGAAACTCTATGAAGTTCAGGGAAGTTTAGGGTAATTCTCCCATTACCACCGTCAGTGTGATCTTTCCTCTTGGAGTAATGTTATTTCCATGGAATCCATGCAAGGGAGTGGTGGTAGGGGTCAACTAGTGATCCAAAATTATCTTATCAAACGTGGAGCTGAAGAGAATATTCACAAAGCTACCATTATCAACTAGCATTCTCTTTAGTCCATTGCGGGCCAGCATGGCCCTTACCAAAAATGCATTACAATGGGGATAGTGGATTCCATTGATATCTTCTTGGGTGAAGACGATAAGTGATGCTTGATTTCTTCGAGAGGTACTATCCACTATATAACTCGTTAACGGGGGGTGCTTGGCTTTACGAGCATAGTTTCTTTGTGAGTTCCATGTCTCATCGCTCACATAGGGGCCTCCAAATATGGTATCTATATCAAGAATTGGGACCTTTTCTTGAGCCCGATTACCTTTACATTGTATGTGCCCATCACAAGGTCTTTCTTCATTTTGCTCCATTCTCTTTTGGGGAAATACGTCCCTCTGGTGGAGAACAACCTCCTCATGCCTAGGTTACTGGTCGTACCTACGTGGGGGCTTGTTGTCTCATGGCACATTATCTCTTTTCTCGTCTGTGGGACTCGCCCTTCGTGGATGACGCACGAAGTCCCAACAGTTCGCTATATCGTGATAGTACGAGTGGTGATATGTGCAGTATTGGTTGGAGCTCGAATTCTGCTTAGGTCGAGATCCTGAGCTTTGGCTTTGGCCTATTCCTCGACGAAAGGCCTGTTGGGTAGGTTCTTGCTGAGTGTTCGCTGCTGGTGCTACATCTTCATAAGCTAGTGTTGGCACCGCATTCAAAGTGGTGGTAGCGAGTGCTTACCCTACATTTTCATTTCTAGTTGAGTTTATCTGGTAGTCCATTAAGTGGGAGGTCGATCTTCTTAGACGTTGTCTCTGTTGTATCAATTCCTCATTAATTATCTCCCCTCTCATCATTTCGAGCAACGTGTCGTATGTTGTGAGATCTTGGTTTTGAACGTCTCTCCAAAATAGGGTATTCATGTTTAAGCCTCCTCTCAATGCTGATAGGGCCTCACAATCAATGACTTGCACGCAATATGTCATTTTGTCAGTAAAGTGTGACAATAAACTTTTTAGGGATTTTCCAGGCACTTGCCTCATGTTCTAGAGGCGCTGGATGAAGGTCTTTCTCTCTTTGCTCACAGCAAATCTCTTCAAAAATGTGGTCTTAAATTTAGGCCAACTTCGTATGCTCCCAGGTGGCAACCTGCTCTATCAAATTTCAGCCGTTCCATTAAGTGTCAAGTAGAAGGCTCTGCATTTTACTGCAAGAGTGGCGTCTCTTAGGCTCATGTGAGTCTTGTAAGCATTCAAATGCTTTCTCGAGTCGCCTCTTCCATCATACTTCGATATCTTAGGCATCGCATAGTGGTCGAGCATCTGGGCACTTCTCAATTCTCATGAAAATGGCAAGTTCTCGTCGTCATTATCCAAGTCACAGGACCTCTATTGCTTATCTGAATCACTGTTTTCATCAGCTTCATATCTGGGTGGCGAATGTGAAGGACCAGCTTGATTTCTAGCCTCCTCCTCTTTCATTTGGTGCTTATTCCTAGGCGGATCCATCCGGGGGGCATTTTCATGCCTTTCCTCCGATGGTTGAGTCGTAGGATGTGGAGGTTGTGGCCTCATTTGAGGCTCGCGAGGCTGTTGTTTTTGCCTAAGCCTCAGCTCCGTCTGACTGATTCTGTCAAAAATGCTGCTTGACCTCCTAGGCCTTCGCGCTGGCTCGTACGGGGGTGGGAAGTTGTCTTCCGTGTTGTATGGGAGCTCGATGGGTCAACAAGCATAATTGGAAGAAATGTCAACTCCCACCTCTCTCTATATGGGGCTTCCTCCCCTACTGTGCTTGGGAGATTCAGCCCGCTGGCTTTCGACCTCGTCTTCATGTTGGTACTGTCCATGTGCTGCATATGGGGGGATGTGATAGCCACCCTTACCCAACATCTGCATTAACATCTCCTGCATGGCCAAGTTTTTGTTGATGATGTTCCTTATATCGGCTACCATAGCAGCCACCTCTCTGGTGAGTTGTGCAGCCATTCTTGTTCCACCTCTTCTGTGATGGTGGTGAGATCGGTGTCGGCCACTAGGAGCTAGTGCTGGCAGGGTCCCTACTACATTCTCTCTTACTCTCTTGGGGGATACATATTCGTCGAAACTCATTTTCTGAATTATATCTCCGAGTTTCCAATCTATGGGCTTCCTCTTGTTCTTTATCAAATCCCTTTTGAAAGGGGATGCCCAAGTATGCTTTTAAGCAAGCTTCTACCATGCGGTTGTTCGTGGTTATGGTGTGGTTTCCCACAGATGCGTGTCAATCTGTTGACCCCATTTTCGGTTGAGGCTACGTGGACAACAGATACCGGATCCACCTACGTATACGTAAGCAGTAGTCCAACACGCTTAAGACACTCGAGGTGTCTGGAATGGTCTTAGGAAGACGTAGGAGCAGCTCAAAGACGCGGGACGACTATGTTAGGAATCCAACGACACTTTGGATTAACGATTGTACCATAATTACCAATCGAGACTTGTTGAACTTGTATATGAATTCAGTTGTACTGTAGAAAGAGGAAAATATGAAATATTATTCTTTGTTTTGAATATTGCATTACCTTACAAAGGGTGTCTGGGTTAAATCGTGGCCCTTGGTTGGGAGTACACGTGGCCTCATCTAGTTTATCTACTTATCTAATCATAGGCATCATTTTAACCACCTAGCCTTTTATATAATTATTAGTTAGCAGAGCCGTCGCTATATATGACAAGACGTTTGCACCCTATGACAGATGTCTTGTCAGTTACTCGAAGTGGATTCTCGTGTAAGACCAGATCTCTTAGAAGAGGTGATGCAAAATACGCTTCATAGCATCGATTTCGACGAAGAAGTCTCGATACAAAAAGCGTTGGCCAGTGGGCTTTGGTCTCAGCATTTGGGCCACTTATAAGCTTTGTTTCTAGATGTGGTGAATGCTTCAAGGGCCTCAGGGTCTCGTCCACCTTGTCATGTGGTTCGACATAGGGGGGCAATGACCCCAAAGAAGTAGGCCAAGTGTACCGAATCGCAATGGATTTTTTAACGGATGATTCTATTAGAATTTATATATAAAAAATACTATCAACAATAAAAACAATTTTTGGTAAAAAATTCATTTTTCCTCCCCTTAAATTTTCAATACCCACTTAAAAATTTTGTATTTTACCAAAAGCCTACAACGTCGTATTGCCCAAAGTATAAAAACTAACTAATGATACCCTAGCCCATTTTATCTGTCTTTTTCCTCCTCTCGTTCGTTTCTCGAAACAAAGAGTTATCTGCCATGGTTGCCTTTCCCCTAAAATCAAAAGCTGTTTCAAGTTCATGTAACTGCCATGAATAGTTTGCTTTGGGTTTGAGTTCCAAAATCGAGCAGTAGTTCTTTGAAATCAAATGATTCATAGATCTCGTTCAAGGGATAGATCTGAGCACAGATCAAGGTCACGATCTCATTTAATCTCTTTCCTCTTTCTCTTTTTTTTGTTGGTTCTTGATTTAAGTTTCAAAAAGTACTTGCATAATCTTGATTTAATTAACTATGTCCGTGAGGACTTGGAATTTATCAGCTTGGTTGCCACTCTTTTTCTAAATAGTGAATTGGGATTTTGAAGTTTTGTCTTTTTATTTTTATTTAGAGCTTGATATTGAGGTATTTGAAGATTTTGGTGTGAGTTTTTAGTTTTTATCTGGAAAAAAATCAATCTTGACGTGATATTCTTTGAGGGTTTATTTTTCTGTACTTATAATTTGCTTCAAGATTCTTGAAAGTTATGGTATGAAGGGTTCTTGTTGATTTTAGTCAAAGGCTGCGAATTGTTTGACCTGTTTGGTGTATTTTTAATTTTGCTGCAATATTATTAGGGGTAGGCTGTAAATTTAAGTTTGGACAAATGTATACTGAGGAACTGAAGGAAGGGAATTTAGAGAATGAAGAGGGACAACATTTTTGTGGTAAGGATTTATAAATTGTCACAAAATCATCTAGAAACTTAGGCTAATTTATTTACTTGTTTTAGCTAAGCTAGGGGGGAGTGCCGGATTAGGTATGAAACAATTGTAACCTGTTTTCTAAGATGAAGATTGCAAGTATATATGCTAAATTGATTATTTTACTAGTGTTGGAGTTAATGAAACTTAATTAGTTGATGTTTGCATAATCTGCAGAAATTGATAAATTTAGTTCATAATTTTTGCTTTCTGTGTAAATTTAATGCATATCAAGTTTTGCATTGCTTTAAGACAGAGGATTTCTCCTACATTTTTCCCTCTTTTTTCAATGTATGTATGATGTAGCAAACATTTTCATAATTTACTAATCAGAAGGAAACTTTTTGTAATTAAATTAGGACCAAGGACAAGCAATTCTCATTAAACTATAATACTTCTGAGAGCAGAGATCAATTTTTTGCTTGTTATTCAGTTTTTACTTAAAGGATTTGTAGCTTGAATCTTTCATTTATGCATAGGTGTGAAGAAAGATCATAGTGGCGTGTTGTTTGGACAGTAAATGTTCGTTGACTTGTATGATTTGTCGTAACGGGTTTCTTTGGTTGTATTGGTGGTGAGGAGTATGCTGCTGGGGAGGCTTTGCTACGATTGTATCCATTTGGTAGCCTAACTATAGATTGTTCTCTCTTTAGAATTCGCTTCCCTTTTGCTTTTGTGTTTGAAATAGAAAGGAAAAGATGTGATTATTAATTTGGTCTAAAATTATGTCTAATGCGTCTTGCTACTCATTTAATTGATGTCTAATAGAGCTTTGTGCTTGTTTGACTAATGTCCAATGTAGCCTCTTCAAAGATTATGCTTTACATTTAACTTATGGGATCTGATTTTTTATAATGTGTTTGCCTTCTTAAATTTTTTCATGACAGAAAATGCACCAAGCTCAATAAACCATATGATAGTTACACGAATGGAAGCATGATCAGTTAAATAAGTTACATTTGTTACACTTACATTGCTTTTATCGTTATCCTTCAACTGGAATACTAAATTGTATTTCTATTCATTACATACATTAATTATCTATTTCTGTAGTGGGAGGATTTGTTTTAATTAGAAATCATTTCCCAAGTTCAAGTCTTCTCATAAAGAGGTAGAGAAGTAGAAGATGAAGCAGAGGCTGAAATCTTACAGAGAGAAGACAGAGAGGCGTACGGTACAATCTTGTGTGGAATGGGGTAGGATACCCATTTATATTAAGCCAAGTTAGCTCAAATAAGGTAAGTAGCACTAGGGTATCACATGGGTCAAGTAAAGGCCCAATTAATAGACAAATGGCCTGCCAAGTGAATTCTCTAATTGTTGGGCCTCTAAGAAAGCGAATTGGGCCATGAGCAACACCAAAAGATTTAGGTTGCTTTAAATGACCCAATTAACATTGAGGTCATGTCGTCTCGATTATGGTGTTACAATTTCATTCAATCATTTGGCCTAGCCAAATGAAAATTAAAACCGAATAACATAATAGTCCGAGGAGGTCGTTTGACAACAAACTGTCTAACAAGCTCCACCTTGACGTCAAAGGACTTGCAAAGAAAAAACATCTCCTGTTAATGATTTCCAATTTTATTGGAAATCATTTACGTTTACCGATGTTTAGAAGATCTTTACAGCTTCTAAACTTTATCAATGGTAGCACTTTTTTGCCCATGTCTGAAGGGCTGTATTGTGTGTGAACCTTTTCGAGTCTTACCACTTCTTGAGATATTATATCTCTAATAAAATGTAGTTTAACATCAATGTGTTTAGTGCGTTCGTGAAAAAACTTGATTTTTGCATAAATGTATAGATTATTGACTATCGAAATACCCTACCATATAATCATTCAAGACACATAGTTCATGAAGTAGACCTCTAAGCCATAAAGCCTCTTTAATTGCTTCAGTGGTAGCAATATATTTTGACTCAATTGTGAATAGTTCAACAATGTGTTGTAACTATGATTTCCAACAAACACTAGAATTAGATAAGGTAAACACATAAGAGGAAGTTGATTTCCTATCATTTCTATATCTCACATAATCGGCATTCACAAAACCTTTCAATTTCACACATTCCTTACTAACACTAAACACTAGATCTACATCACCAGTACCCTTCAAGTATCTTAATAACCACTTTAACACTTTCCAATGTTTAGGACTCGGATTAGGCATATACCTACTGAGGGTACTATCAGCAAAACCTAAATTCGGTCTAGTGCAAACCATCAAATACATTATGGAACCAATCACTTTAGAATACGGAATTCTACTCATGTGTTCTATTTCATGTTTATTGCAAGGAGCTTGTTCTTTAGATAAACCAAAGTGATTAGCTAGAGGCAATGTGGCAAGTTTGTAATCATTCATATCAAATTTCTTCAACACCTTGGAAATATACAAAGATTGATGCAAAAACTAAGCAGAATTTGACCTCTCTCTTTCAATTTCCATGTCTAGAATACTCTTAGCCTTATCTAGGTCTTTCATGACAAATTCACCACTTAACTTTGCTTTTATGCTGTTTATTCATTTAGGTGATGAACCAATCAAAAAGCACGTCGTCCGCATAGAGTAATAAAAACAAATAATTATTACTAGTCTCGTTGTGTTAAAAATACAAACAGTGATCAAACTTACTTCTTTGGACCCTATAGTGAGTACAAAAGAGCCAAATCTTTTGTACCACTGTTTAGGTAATTGTTTTAAACCATATAAGGACCTTTTGAGAAAACACATATTATCAGATTTTAGATTGTCCTTAAAACCTTTTGATTGATTCATAAAGATTTGTTCGTCGAGTTCATTATGTAAAAAAATAGTTTTTACATCAAGTTGTTCAAGTTCTCAGTCAAAATCCGCAACCAATACAATCATGACCCTAATAGTAGTATACTTAGCAACTGGTGAGAAAATCTCATTATAATCAACACTCTCTTTTTGTGTGTAGCCCTTAGCCATTAATCTAATCTTAAATCTTAAGGGTTTCAAGCTACTTGTACCTTCTTTAACCTTAAAGATCCATTTGCAATCGATAGTCGATTTATTCTTAGGTCTAGGTACTAGCTCCCATGTATGATTCTTCTCTAAAAAATGCATCTCCTCTTTCGTTGCCTTAAGCTACTCTTTGAATTGTTCACTCTTCATCGCCTCCTCAAAGGTTTTTGGTTTCCTATCAACTAGTTTTTCGTAACTAGCATGGGTGAAAGTTAACTCTGATTTATATCCGAATCTCCTAGGCTCTCTCGTTTGTCTCCTCTCTCTATTCCTAACTAAGTTATGGTTAGCTAAATGATTTTTTTCCTCAAGGTGCCCTTCTATCACTACCTTTTCTCTATTCTCCACCTCGATTTCCTGAACCCGGTCTCCATTTCATTTGTAGTAGTAGGGACAGATATGCTAAACTTTCCTAACTCCACCTTAAATCGATCACTCTCTTCACCTGATTCAGTTTCACTAACATATTTGGGTTTACCTTTAAAACAAGGCATTTCACATTTGTTAAATGTGACATCCCTATTTACTATGATCTTAATTTCCTTTTGGCTTCTATCTCATAACCTGTAACCCTTAACACCTCCAGAGTATCTTAGAAGGATACACTTTCTAGCTCTAGATTCAAGTTTTCCCTTACTCTGATGGGAAAAAGCAACATAGCCAAAGGTTCTAAGTATAGAGTAATTACTCAGTTTATCAGACCACCTCTCATGAGGAGTATCGCCATTTAAAGTAGCAGATGGAATCAAATTAATCAAATAACAGGCAGTAATAACAGTTTCACCCCATAACGACTTTGGGATACTAGAAATTAACATTATGCAACGCACTTGATCAAGTATGGTTCTATTCATCTTTTCGCTACCCTGTTTTGCTCGGGAGTGTAAGGGACCGTCTTATGTCTTGTTATTCCATTTTCTTTACACATAATGTCAAATTTAGTGTTACAAAACTCTAGGCCACTATTTGTTCTTTAAAATTTAATATTTTTGCCAGTTTGATTTTCCCCTCGTCTCTTCCAGTTATTAAAGTTGTGGGAAGTATCAAATTTATCTTTCAAAAGATAGACCCACATTTTCCTAATACAGTCATCAATAATAGATAGGAAATATCTATTCTCACCCGATGTGGGATTGCTAGCGGGACCCCACAGATCAGAATGCACATATTCAAGTATGCCTTTAGTTTTATGAACACTAGTGGAAAAAGATGTTTGATGATGCCTACTGAGCACATACTGATCACAGAATGACAAATGAGACACAGTCATTATAAAATGCACCTTTTTATTAAGAAGCTTAAAACCTTTAATGCATACGTGTGCAAGCCTATTATGCTATGTATGTATGTGATCAACCTTTGCAGAAGTGATAGAGGAGTTCAAACCTCAAATCATTTCTCCAGTAGTGATGTAAATGTCATTTTTTTTTTATTTCCCTTAATAGAGACTAATGCAAATTTAAACATCTTGAACATTCATGTCTAGTTTTACCAGTGAAGTCATCTTTATCAAGTCTTCCTACTGAAATCAATTTTTTAGACAATTTAGGAATATATCTAATGTCCTTTAAAGTGTACACAAAGCCGGTGTCAAAGTTTATATTAATGTCATCAATTTTAGCAATCGTATAAGCAAAATTATCACACAGCGCAACATATCCAATATTATATTCATGCAAGTTTTCAAACCAATTATTTTCAAATGTTATATGAAAAGATGCACAAGAATCAAGTATCTATTTATATATGCGGGAATTAGCAGTTAGATTTAATTTAGCAATATATGCAAAAGGACTCGTAATCATATAAACCTCACTCTTATCTATATCGGAAGCCAGATAATAACACGTTGATCTCATCTCTCTCCTTAACTTTTAGCTTACCCTTTTCCTTATGACATTTTTTTATAAAATGCCTTGTGTTTCCATAGTCATAGTATTTTCTAGACTTCGATTTAGTTCTACTATTGCCTTTCTTCTTCCATCCATGGGTACTTGACTTGCCACTACTTTGGTATCTATCATGACTGTTTTCCCTAAATTGATTTTTACCCCACATGTAACTCACTGCTTATCTTATCATGTTTTTTAGCCCTAATTTTCATCATTTTACTTCTTAGAGAATCTATGACAATTTCAGGCGTCAATGTGCCCTTACCATATTTAATGACGTTTTTAACTTCCTTGTATGAGTCAGGAATAGAATTGAGCAAGATTATGGCCTTATAGGTTTCAGACATAGCCTCATCACTGTTAACAATATCTTGCACCAATTTGTTAAATACATCTAAATTGTCATCAAGATCTTTTGAAGGTTCCATTTTAAAGCTAAAAAAACGTTCAAGCAGATAAATTTTGTTCGGTGTAGATTTTAGAAAATATAGATTTTCCAATTTTTTTCAAAGTTTTTTTTTTGTGGTTTTTAGCTTACCAACATTTCTCAAAGCGGCGTCAGACAAGTGTAAAATGATTAAGGTATAAGAAAGCTTATCAGCTTCTTTCTTTTGTTCTTTTGAAAAATCAGTTGAAAATTGCCTTCAATAACTTTTGAAACATTTTATTGGATCAAAATACCTTTCATTTTTTTGTTGTCAGATTGAAAAATCATATTTTTGTTAAAAAATTTCAAATCAAAGTTGTGAGTTGTTATTTTTATAGAATAACCAAAAATGTACAAAACATAGTCAAATCACACGAAGTAGTCCTAGGGTCAAGGACAATATACTCAGTTTTAAATTTTCAGGATTTCGTAAAATTCGTGGTCTTAGATCAATGGAATGTTTGAACGGCTATGG